ATGACTAGCTTTCGTCCGCGACTCCATCCGCGCGGAATTAAATAGCCTATGTGTTCATCCAGACTATGTTTTACATTTGTACCAAATTTCATCGAAATCCGTTCAGCCCTTTAGGCTACAAACTCTAACAAAGATCCATCCATCCATCTAAACTTTCGCATTTATAACATTAGTAAGAAGAAAGATTACATATACTCTTTTCTTGACTCTTTTCTCTCATTTCATCATCTCAGTTCTTGTAAAAAGAAGTTACTCCATCTAACGATCAATAGGTCATTTAGGTTTAGTCTAGATTTTTCTCAGTGAGTTGCCAATTTTGTGTTAATATATTTTATAAAACAAAGAGCAACGACAAAAAGATACAGTATTTTAAAATAATAATTATAGTCTACGTCAATTATACATGAGTAAAACATTACGTAATTGTTTTTATTTAATTATGAAGAAGTCAAAGCAAAAAGTTCTGAATTACATTTAAAAAATTCTAGACGAGATTAGAAGATTGTTCTAGAATCAGGAACAGAACAATAGATTTGCAACAAGCGAATGTCCTCGGCTATTAGATTTTGTAAACGATAATTAGCGTAACTCAAAATGTTTTAATACATAGTGGATTTTTAACTAGATGTTTACAATTTTACAATTTCTTTTATCTTAGAAATTCTATCCATAATACGTAATAAACACGAATTAAATAAATTAACGAGGTATTGAAGAATCACTATTATTACTTACTATTTACACATGTAATTAATATAATGAATATTTATTACGAATATCTAAATATATGCATGTAAAGTCCATCCATCCATTACCTATTGACTTTACACAGATTATTTATAAAGCTTTAGAATAGAAGAAAAGAAATAAAGAAACTGGAACATAACGTATGACGTTTCAATTTAAATTATACGAACGCTTAAATTAAAACGAAAAGAGTGACGCAAACGTATTTTTATAAGAAAATATTTAATTTTATTTAGCAAAAAATTCAAAGGTATATAATGAATGCACAGTGTGCGTTTAATTTGATTTAAATAATTTTAAATTGATATAAACTAAATTTATGCAGGAAACAAAAAAAAAGCATGCAAGCAAACAAGCAAATGTTTATTATTCAAATAATTGTCTTTATTCAAAATTTGAAGGAGCATAAAAAATCTGTTTTGATGGAAATTTTTCGTTTTATGTGAATAACATGACACTTTATCCCACGCGTAAATTTTGGAATATCCTTAAATTAAGACGAATTACACAATAAAAAAACCATTTACGATGTACTAATTAGTATACTAACTTATTTGAAGCCTAAATCCAAGTTGATACTACATATTGGTCGTCCTGATAGAAGATTAGTAAATTGACGTCAGTATTAAATGCAAAAAAATTACCTAATTGAAATTAAATATTAATAACTTTTCAATTCAAAAACTTGATTCAAAGTACGTATTTTCAACTCAAATACAGCAAAAACGATTTCTCACTCGACCGAGCGCAAACTCAAATGCGACTCGTGAACGATTTACTGGTTTAAAGCATAGATTAAGTACCGCCAAGAATTCGCAATTAATCAATAGACGGTGATTGATTCTTCTAACTTATAGTCTTTGCTTAAAAATTTTAAAGCAGCATTTTTTTCAACAAAATCTCTAATAGTCAAACTGACACTATTAATTAAACCATTTCTCCCCATAGCCAAATAAGTATTAAAACGCTTGGTAAATAGCTTGGAAATTCAGATAGACTTTGTATTTACTTTACAAATTCACTACATTTAATTTGGTAGTAAAACTTTCCAACTAACAGAACTCTCCTTGTTTCAACTGCAAAGTTGAGTCCATTGTCTCAGAATAAATCAACCCGACTTGACACGAGCGAAAAGTAAATACAAAATTGTCTCCATAAAACATTATAAAAATCAAATTATCTCTAATGTTTAAACTATACAAAAAGAAGGAAAAATTTAAACTTGGAAGAAAAAACATTAAACTCAAGGAACTAGTTTCGAACGCGCGCACATCTTTAACTATACTATCGCTAAACTGTTTAGTCTCGCTTTGATGAATAGGAAAAACTCCTTGGAGCCTTATTTGGTACGAACACTACTCTTTAGTTGTGCGACTAAAAAGTTTAATTGGCTGCAGACAATAGACAATCGCACAACAGATGTGCGATAGCATAGTGAAAGGTGTGCGCCTGCTGTAAACAGTGATTTAAAAGAGAAGATTGATGCGTCCCCAATCAAGGATTTTTATATTATTTGTTAGGCTATACGTACATGTAAACAATCTTACTTAACAAGTTTATTAATGTATCTATTTTAAATAAAATTACGTATGTATTTATGTTAATGGCACAAGCTCTATTTCAATCATCTTGTTTTCTTCCACAGGAACGGTTACTTTTGTGGTAGGATGACCCAAATCTACCATGGGAGAGACCACCGTGTCATCATAACAGCAGACCAAATCACGTTTATAACAGGTACGTGATAAATACAGCATTTTTAATTCTAAACATTTACGACGTGAAATGCATTGACCGTGTTTCTTTGCGCAGGATGGATCTGGAAATGAACGTAGGAATCCAAAAAAAATCATAACCAAATTTAGGAACGTTTGTTTTAAATAGGGCATATAATTTTAATTAATTTTAGAACAAATAGATATATTTGTAATTGTAAAAATATAATTGAAGTTGTAAAAAACACTCTCACTGTGGAGTCGACTACCGAAGCACCATACGACTATTTTTTCTATTTTTTACAAGAGAGATATTAATAGATATATTTCTGTAAAGTAACTAACACTTACGACGTTATATAAGACCAAAATAACTCATTATCGTAAAATACTTACGAATGTTAATTGCAAAAAACATTTCCCTGCCGTTCTCGCTCAAGTTACGGTAAACATGATCTCTGTAAAGTAAAGGATACGAGTATTGTTTTAATGAGAAGTTTTTTTGATGTGCTAAATAAACACAATATAAAAAACATATTATTGTAAAATATGTTTTGACATCCATCATGTGAAGATTTTGCCTTTTCTAACCGTAAGCAACTCTTGTGTGTAATTAAAAGACGTAATTAGCAATAAATTAGTAAAAGTCATTTCTGATAATCGAATAATTAGATGCATTTGTAATTACAATTTTCAATTGTTAGAGTTGGCTATGGGACACTTAAGACGATTTTTTCATTAGTTTTGTAAGTGACTTCTCACTACACGCATCCTAAAAAGGTACTTTAAAAAGAATGTAGTTGTAAAAGGCGATAAAATAAACACTACTGATGTCATCAATATCGTTTAAAGTCAATGTCACAGATTAAAAATGCGTATTTTGTTTTAAATATATTCTTCAATATTAATGGTCTTCGATAAGTTAACCTTGTCTAAAATTTTTAAACGCCCGTTTATTCTTTGACCTAGCTTAAAATTATTTTGTATATTCGAGTTTTTAATTTATAGAGAGCCTTGTAAACTTGACTTGTCAATAAGAAACAGGAACATAAAAATCCTAAGTTTTACAAATTATTTGAATGCACTACATAACTATTATCTAGGAGATAGGAATGGAAGGCAATTCGGCGGTGCAAGTATTCAAACAGTGGAATCCTAAAGTAATAAAAATAACTTAATCGAAGCACATGACAGATTCAACAATCGACACAAACGACCCTTTAATTGTTGATTAAACCATCACAGGTCATTGACCCTTTGACAATTAACGTTTGTAAAGAAAAGGTTTTTATTCCACATTTTATTATCCTCACTTCAGTTACTTGTTACGTTAACATTAAAGTAATAAATAAACATTAAAAATGCTTAGGAAACACGTTGTCCTCGCAAATTGTTATCATTAACTAAAACAAAGGTCATTGTGCGATTGCATAAATCATATTGATAAATAAAAAAACTAAATTGCAAAGTATTTTATTTAATATCAAAGCGATAAAATTTAAACGCTAACGTTACAAATTAAGGTTATATTTTGACCTTTAATTTATATAAAACTAAATATTTTAAATGCGAAAATTTAGATGGTTTCATAGATGGATGGATGTTTGTTAGGTTTTCTAGCCTAAACGGTTAAAAGGATTTCGATAAAATTTGACATACCTAGATGTAGAGGATAGTGTGGAAAAACACATAGGCTACTCACTTTTGGCTTTTTTTTATAATTCCACGCTGTCGGAGTCTCGGACGAAAGCTAGTAATAATATACAATTAGAAAACTTAAGTTATTAACATTATCCCAGCCAGTACGATTTCTGTGTGCTCATCACGAGAGTCAAACACTAAAACTGTTAAGCGACACAAATCTTAAAACACCTGTTTTTCTGACCCTTGATCAAAATTCATTTCTTAACTACAGTCGTATTCTCCTTTGACGTCCATTGATAACAGTAAAAATTGCAAGAAATGTTATAAATATTCAATACAATACTAAATATCCGATCAAATATTAGAATATTACAAATTGCATATAAATTATGATGAAATCAGTAACATTCGGTTTATAGAAATGTTATGAATTATTTTCTTATTATCATAATTAAGCTAACAGGCGCACTTATAGTTGTCATGTTCGTCATAAGATTTAATACGAGAAATCTATCGTAAACAAAGCAACGATAAACATTTGTTTCATATTTCATATCAGTACACTCCCTTTTTCCAATATTTACCGAAACGATGACGTAAAAGTGTATTGTTACAAGTCATAAGATAGATATGCACTTACCCTTGATGTAAATATAAAGCTACACAATCTCGTATGGCCCCTAAATTCTAGATGAATACATCAAATGTGGGAATTTCGAACCGAAAATACTGTTTCTTTTTCTCGATCGTAAATAAAAATTACCTGTTATTCTTTAACTCTATTAATAGATGTAAAAAAATTACATAATTTTATAGATTAAATAATTTTATACAACCTTTTAACAAGGCCAGATCCATTAACTATTCACAGAACTGTACTTGATTATAACAGCACAGATAACGAAGCGGTCAGTGTATTCGCTTGTCGTGTGAAGATTAACGTATTTGTAATCAATAGTGCTATAATTATGTGGGAGAAAATTCTATTTTGTATATCAATGTGTGTTTTAACATTCTCCTTTCTATCTAAAAAGATTTCATATACCGAACCGAGTAAACTTAGATTTCATTTAAAATTTTTCATATATTACTTCTTATGTAGTTTGCTGGCGTTTGTTATTTGGCCAATATTCTTGTTTAGACCGAGGAGTGTGAAAAATAGCAGGTCGGTACTGAATTTTCTATCCTCAAATATTTGTTATACTATCCTACTTCATACATTTTTTTACTAGTAGATTCCATTAGAATTAAGTATGAATCTACTAGCTTTCGCCGGCGACTCCGTCCGCGTGGTTTTGAAAAACAACAAAAGTTAGTAGCCTATTGTCATTCCGGACTATTCTCTACATCTGTACCAAATTTCATCGAAATCCGTTCAGCCGTTTGGCTACAAACTTTAAGAAACATCCATCCATCCATCTAAACTTTCACATTTATATTAGTATGGTCATAATTATCAATTCTTCTCATATTTGAATTATAAGATCCATGAAATAAAAATATCAGTAACTCGTTTTGATTAAAAAAAATAGATTTGAACATAATTCAAAAATAGTACCATCCACCCCCACTCCTTACGACCTAGACTTAAAATAAACATGAAAAATCATTAATTTATAAATTAAAATGTAATTATTTTATCTGTGTAAAAATTCGGTCAAAGATATACAATTAATCTGTAAAGATTCAAGATAAAAGTAAGCGGAACTGATAAATCACACTTTGATATCATATATTACGCCTATATGTAAATATAATATTAATAAATATATTTTGTTTAGGAACAAAATTGCAGCCCTGTGTATTTATCAAAAATTTCGTAATATTCGATAAAGAATTCAAAAAACTACTTGTATTCTAATCTATTTTGATAACGAATGTTGTGTATCAAAAACTACTCCGGAAATGCCTCATTGTTCTTAATCTCAGGTACAATGGTATAAAAACTTAATAACAGCTTGTAATAAGGGGCTAGTCTACTCACACGCACAACATAATGCTAGGCAAAGGCGAAATGTAAAGGAATATGAGAGGACACATCCCTGTACGCAATGTTAAAAGCAATAGGCGCAACTGGCATCCACCGCCGCCCCTAGCATGCCCCGCACAGCCGCGTTGTGGAACGGTCTGTCCTCGGCAGTATTTCCAACCCAATACGACTAAGGGTCCTTCAAGAAGCGAGCCTATCATTTTCTCAAAGGCCGGC